GTTAAATGAAGCTTTTATTGCTCGTAATTATCATTATAGTTTTTAGGCTATCACCGATTGGTCAATAAACATAGTTGGTTTACACAAAATTCTCTGGACTTTCCGAATAAATCTCGCCCCAAATACATCTAATTCGCGGTGCTTCTAGTAAGTCCCTGCGTCTGAAATTGCGTCAAACCGTTGTTAATTGCCCGGTGTAGCCGCTCGTAAAGTACGGTGTAATATCGCTAAGGTTTGGCTGAAATGCGACAAAAAAATAGAACCTTTCTGAACGCGGCAGTTTCGATCGCTGCGTGCACGCGTATATTACCCTTTCTTGCAACCTAAAACGTATGTTCATGTGCGCCGTACTCCGGGCTATGACGTGGTGTGCCCTGCGTCTATCGGCTAGCTCTTGTTTTCGCCCAAAACTGAAATCGTCATTTTGAAGTGGACCGAGAAAGTACATTCCTCGGTGCATGTGCTGTCGCCGCTTCGTCTGCTGGAACATGAGCTGTTTTGGTCACCCAAGTGGGTGAGAACGCTGCGCCCATACGTAGTAGAACCCCAATGGTAGAAAGCGAGAGTGCCCGAGCTGGAGATCAGAACTTGTCGGCTGTAATCAACCACTGGTTTTGGTAATCCATCAAATGTCTTCGTGATACTGCGAATGACGGTCATTTGGGATGCGCATTCGCTCTTCATCTTATCGATTCAACACCAAGATAAATTCAACTCTTTAGTATAAAGCATACCAAAAACAGGTAATTTTTGAATACCCTGGATAATACGGATTTGTGACAGAATTAAATAATGTACAAGCTTTAATGTTCTGTTGGAGACGGAGTAGGTCACGAACCTGGTAGAACGGGTTGGATCTGGAACGTCTTATCGATGGTCTTGGGTTTGCGGCTGGAGGTTGTAAAATGAAGGAAGCGCGTATCGGTCTGAATCACTTGCGATTCATGTATCTCCCAAAAATATTCCGCGGCACAGCACCGTTTTCGTTACAGCACAAGGTTTGGACAAGCCATCCGTATGCCCACATAGCGTACGAATAACCAGCAGACCGATTACTTGAAATACCTCGTGTTGTCGAATTAATTTTTGTCTCTTCAATTTGCCAATGATGTCTCCACGTATTTCTTGGGGTCTTCAGCTTGTGCTGCAGCTTGCCGTTCATGTGTTTGCTGCGCGATCGCGAAAAGGCATCGTATCTGGAAGGCGCCATCGTCCAGAGTAACTTGAGCAAAACAATTGATGACTCCCCAGAAGCAGCCGCAGATTTCGTAGCGCCCCTGCCATCATTCAAAGCGGCTGCGTCGAGTTTCAACTGGGGTGTTACATGTTAAATAGCGATCAAGTTAGACTACGATTAAATCATTCTGCACGTCACAGACTTACCGCAATGGTCTTGGTCGTATAACTCCCACCCGGCACTACAATGCTCTCGAATTTACATACCATTTTGCCAAAAGACCTGGCCAATGTCCTCAACCTTAGGATCCGACTCGACTTCAGCCACGTAGGCTTCTTCGGCATCTTCCCGCTGGTTAAAAGCAAAATCCTCCTCGTCGGACTTCACACTGCACCGGGCGACACTGCACTAATATTGACGTCATCCACATCGACGGGACCAAGCGATTCTCAGCACGGAGGTCTTTCATAAAGAAACCTCGATCAAAGGCATCCAAACCTGGTTCGGCTCCGATCTCCATCTCCTCTTCGATGGTTGCCGTGTCACCACCACCGTTCGCATCCACGCCGGCACCTGGCTCCGTAGCAGCAGCGCCGGTATCACATTGGTTTATGGATGCTACACGAGCAGCACCGACACGGTTATCTTGTTGTGCAGCAGCCACGCTAGCAGCACCAACATGAGCGGCTTTTTGTGCAGCAGTTACACTTGCACCATCGACACGAGCGTCTTGTTCTGTAGCTGCTGGGCCTAGCTGGCACCGTTGAGTAGCAGCATACGCTGCCAGTTTTTCCATGGGAGGTTTCGCTATTTGCATCGAGCCACTTCGTCGGAGTGGAAGAGGTGGCTGAGGGATTAACCCTTTTAGCATCGCGTATGCCCAAAGCGCATTCGGTCCAAAAGGTGTGTACAGATCATCAGTAAAAATTGTAATGTAGATGCATTCAGCAACATGCACCGGTTAAATAGCTAATATTGGTTTTGCCCTTGCGTAGCTTGCCTTTAACACCTCGTTTGATGAAAGTATGATCGGAGCGGATGCCTGAAGGGGGCCTCGCCCGCCACCCCGTCTTCATGTGAGAGCTACACTAGTAATTACCTGCCTTGGGGTCGAATTAGTCCGCCATCTTGAATTGGGTTATGTGAAGGGGGAGACGGGGAAACGGCAATGAAGAGCCTGTGGGTTTTTAGTGTAATTGCGGGGCCATCGAGTGAACAGGTTGCTTATTCTAAAGCTGGGAATAGCAAGTGTCCTTTGCTCCCTAAGTCTGTCCAAAAAACAATGACACGCCCGATCACTATAGAAAATACTAGCTAATCCTAATGTTTCGCTTTCAGAGGAGTTCGCGCGACAGAAAGAAGGGGAGAGACAGGCTATCAGTGATCTAAGCCACTGTTGACCTCGGAGCAAAGTCAGAACCCGTTGATCGGATGGAGAAAGGTAATATTTTTCAAGACACTTATAATACGTAATTAAATGCCAACCTTATCGTGTCCGAAGGAGGCCACCCTGAAATTAATGAGCCGAGCACGCTGACAAACCCTGGGCCAAGCGGATCTGAGCCAACGTGTGCTGCGCAAACGAGTCCTAGGCGTCCTGAGCTGCCCCACACTCCAATCCCACGTCTCCAAACGTGCTGGATGACGCTGAAGATATCATGCGCGTCAGCGATCCCCTCGCCGTGGTTGAAGGCGGGCTATTTCAAAATCAGACCAACGTTTTGCACACACGAGACAACGGAACGTCAGATATAATTATGTTGTGAGTATCATTGTCTTTGATTTCCTACTCACAAAACAATGTATATATGTAGGTGGGACCTTGACGGGGCGCAACCTGTGCGTGGAGTTTGCTTCGAATGACTGTGTTGGTAATGAAGGGAATCGCGGTAAAAACGCAATAGAAGTTGAATCAGATTTGCGCTAGGTCGATTTGTTTGTCGAAGCGCGTAACGGTGAGCTTGCCGAAGATGAGTTTGGCGAATCGTGCATATACATATGCAAGGTTCCATAATGATACAGGTTCGAGCTTATCTCGTAATTGGTTTAGGTTTACATGATGATTTGAACTTTGTAACACGATGTGCCTCAGCTGGAGAGTACAATAGGCTCGACTCGGATGTTGGGAGTGGCGAAAAGCCGTAATGGGACGTGACTGGGCCGGACCCGGGTATTAACGAAGACGGCGTGAACTTTGACGAATCGCTTCTTGATGCTGTCGGCGGGTGCATCAAGTTGCTAGTGGTAACATCAAAGCCATTGGTTTTTATCTGGCATAAAGAGATCAGTTGGTCTTCTCTCCCACACGCAGAATATATACCCATACATGGATAACCTCTATGAGGTGCGACTCAGTGGTCGGATCACAGAAAGGTACCCTAAACTGTCCGACGGAGGGCAAGGACCTTACCACGTTGAAAGCAGCGTCGACAATACTTGGAGCTTTTTTTTTCCTTCGTGACACTGCAACTTTTATTGTCTATCGCCGGTGCTAGTAATGATGACTTTCTGGAGAATTCGGATGAGCGAGCTGAATCATTGTACAACAAACAAAAAGATCTAAAGATCTAAAGCTCAAGAAATCTCAATTTGAAATTACTCCTCCTGGTATGTTATGTGCAAAGTTGCTGAGAACTTCCGGTATTTCGGCTATAGAGATATCATTTGTTATTAGACTGCTTATAGCAAGGACACTCGCTCCCAGCAAATAAAGGCTTGCCAATCATTGGCGAACGACCGGCGAAGATAAAATTCGTCGTCATGTTCATGACGAAAGCTCGATTCTACCACATTTCACGAGCCTGCACTTCAGCAGTGACTCAGATCCCAAGGCATCCTCCGATCGATCCTGGAAACTGCATCCGGTCATTATCGCACTTCAAGGAGCATTTATAGAAACCTTTATTCATCTGGCGGTGATGGTCTACGATGAGGCGATGCTGCCGTACACGTCTTCTTTCAACGGGATGAGAATCTTGTGAAGGACAAACCTCATCGCTGGGGTACCAAACCCTTCATCTTGTGCTGCTCCAAGTCTGCCTGCTGCATTCGATGAGTGTGTGCCTACTGGCACGCCCGTTTAATTTTTTTGCTTCAGAGTTTCGCTCTCGTGTACTACACATGCTATCTTAGCATGAAACTTGTATCATATCTACTACACATTTGAAGTTTACTGTGGGAAGAAGCAAATGCAGGACAGCCGTACACCTGTTGACGAGAAGTCCGGACCGGTCGCCGTGGTAAGAAACCTGCGGCATGTTACGACCACTGCGAGACGAGCAACGCAGCGGCACTGAGACCGGAAGCGACGAGCAATGGGCCTCCACGTCGGAGTACGACCAGCTCTTTCACGACGACAGAGTTATGGAATACTCTGGTATTGAACAAGGCGTGTCACCAGGCACTAGAACGAGGGACCGAGCGGGTCTCCGCTGTTGACTTCGAGCAGCCGCAACCCGGCACGGAACACGGCAGCTCGTTCGTGGGGAGGCGGAGACGACGCCAGCTCACGGGACCAGCGGTGAGTGTGAGCGGCAGAGGCTCGCGTGACACGAAGAGCCACTGTACGGTACAGTCTGCACCCACAGCTGCAGTGGGTTACGACACCGGCCGTTACTGTCGAAGTGCGAGGGGTGTGTGGTCGTGGGGCTCCAGCAGAGCAATAAACACAAGGATGGGGTGGTCGTGTACCCCGAGACGACAAAGGGTAGCACTGTGAGAGGCTAGTAGAGCAGCTGCTCCAAGTTGGAGTTAATCGACAGTTCGGGATGTGATGTGGATACTGAGCGGCGATCGGCGGCTCGAGCTCAGTTAAGAATTAGATCCGTGAGGCGCAAGTGGCTCGAGTGCGAGTAAAGTGGTGCGTTGATTGCGGAGCGCGTGTTGGTGGTCGAGGACTTGCAGGCCCTTGCAAGTCAAAAGCCGGAGAAGCGCGAGAGCGAGTCGAGTGTCGGGGGAGCAGAGCTGCCAGGAATTCGTTGAGCAGATCCGGAAGGCACAGAGTGGGTGAGTAGCTGGGCAGAGAACGACGAGGTGGAGCCGTTCGTGGTGGTGGTGGTGGCTCGAGGAGGCGGGCGAGTCAGAGGGGGGTAGCCCTTTGACGAGTCTGATTGTTGTTGCACGCGGGCTTACCGGCGGTGACCAGTGAGACGGACACAGGGATCGACGTGTGCGCTACTGCCCGGGGGCCCCTAAGCGTGTCTGCGCGGTGAGTTGCGGTCCTGTGAGAGGCAGGGCTGCGCAGTAAGACGCAGCTGATATTGATGTTGAGCTGAGAGCTCTACATCGAGTAGAGTTGAAGTGGTTGAGCTGAATACAAATAGGGGCGGGCGCGTCCCGGCGGCTTGAGAGCAGCCAGCACAGTGTTGATTGCGTTCGAGCCTCGGAACCCTGGTAGTTCACCGACAGACGGTGACAGTGAGCGGTGCGACCCGCCGGCGAGCAGGCGTCCCGAGCCTTGTTACAATTTAAATGCCAATAAGGTTTGACCTTGCTAATATCTGACCACTGCACAGCACGAGCAGCAAGAGGCAAGCCTCGCAGTCAACCAGTCTTGCTGCAATATTACGTACTCGCGTTGGAGCAACGGCAGCTCCACCGGTGTGAATATACACTTGTCAAGCATTTATGTTGTTTACTTAATGATGTTTTTGAGCACAGTATTGAGTATTGTCTCAATTAAAAAGCTGTAGAGACTTGGTACGGTAGCCTACAGTCTAAAGGCTTTCCACCAGAACCCCACATCACGGCTTTCGCAAAATTTACTTTACCGGGTGCTTTAAACAGCGAGGCTTGTCGTAGGACTGCCAATTTCTATCCTACACACTTCAGTAGTAGCAGATAAAGAACAAAGTATGAGCCATGTGCGTGCAGCTTGAGACTCTGCCTCTTGAAATTGACGCTCATGTACTGTTTGTCTATTTTATATCTAAATCGGCATCTCACTGCTATAAGTAGAATTCAATCGGATAATTCAATCTTATTATTAATATATCAGTATTAGAGCTGCAAATATTTGCATTAGAATTTACATACCGTCCATAAATATTGTGGCCTTACTGCAGAAACGGTTTTTGTTAGTGTTGTGTCATTTATATCACTGATATTTAAGGTATACGTTTATAAAATGCGAATATGCTACTTTTGCGCCTGTGGCCTTTTATGTCAATAGAGAGCTTTAGCTTCAAAAATAACTCGAAAAATATTTTTCTTCGTCCAGAAATATATTCCACAAGAATAAAGTATTGGAATATTGATTGGTAATCTATCCGTCATTTATTTAGATTTTATCCAGATAATCGCAGTTTCAAGCCTTGCGTTATTCCATTAGCTAAAGTTCTCTCATATCTCTGGTGCGTATGGAATAATTTAGATAAGTGTACCACGAAAGGATTAAGCACCGGTGTCGAGATAGATCTTTGGCTAGTGTGCAGTACAGTCAGATAGGTGCTGTGTTTTTTTATAGGCATAAGGACAGTTTCGACGAGAGTGCACAAAATAGATTGATTGTTCGTCGAGCTTAGTTCCATCAGCTTTACTCACTCGCTACCAGCCCTTCCTTCCGCACCCCAAATCGCTGTGTTCATACCATGGAGAATCCAAAGTGAGAAAACGAATCCACTGAATGATCGGCCGTTCCGACGAAGGTCAGCATACGCGTTGTAGATGTGCCGGTACTTTTCGTTCTTTAGCACATTGAGTTTGTCGAAAATCACCATCGACGAATAGTCCTCGCTGACCCAACGAGCGAACATATTTTCGCGATACGCTAAATCCGACAGCAGTCTGGCTTTATCCAGAATTTCTCTTTTCTCTCTTCATCTTCGTCGTAGTTCGTTTTGCGTAAGCGCAGAAGCCTGTTGCCGTTATCAGCACTTGGGGTGTGGACAAAGTGGCCTACTTCGGTCTGCCGGATCGCTGCAATCGATGTTTTTTCGGGGTCTGTCTGTAGAGCGATGCCACTCGAAAGAAGAGTAGACGCTACGGCTGCTAGCAGGGTTACCAAAATCCGCATTGTCTTAAACCGATTAGTCGAGGGTAGAAAATTTTCTGGGACTTTAAAGTAATGCAAATTGTAAAATGAGGCAGCAACACTCCCCGCTACATGAAAAAAATCACCGGAAAGCGCTCTTGTGTTGGCTACGGACAGCAACGCGACTAATCGATGTAAACCAGAATTGTCGAGGTGACGTTGCATGTAAGATTGTGAGGAAGATAAAAAAATGCAGTAATCTTTTGACATGTAAATTGAAAAAATTACAGCCAGATTTATAATACTATAATACGTAGTAATATATGGTAGGGCACACACATTATATCGTGTCAAAAATGTCGACCGAGTTACAGGTAGCATTAGGGGTTAGAAACCTCCATACCACCGAAGCTTTTGACAACCATCGCCCAACTTTGTCTGACAATCGATGCCTCAATACATTTTAACTTGTTGAACAAGGTTTATTGATAATTAAGTGTGCTTCATATTTCAACACAATAGAATGCAATGCTAGCATATTCGTTTGCCTAGCTTGAAAACTCGTTGGTGAATCGCTCGCTGATGCTGGTTAGAGCAACCTGCATAAGCGTATGCGATCTAGTTAATTTAAAATAAAGATCACACACTGTAAGTGCAACAGTAAATATTAATATGTGTACGTTGAACGAGGCCTCCTTATAATGGTTCGGGTTTCGCGTTGTCTTACTCTAATATTGTATGCTCAAGATAGAGCGGGATTGTTGCAAAGTGCTGTTCCTCTACCGTGGCTGTTTTACTTGTGTATATAAAACGTTTTATCGTATTTCATAAATGTACTGTAGAACTTGGCACATGCAAGAATTCCGAAAGTGATTTGCTTGGCTTTTCGCTCAGGAGTAAACAAAAAAAGTTACGTTATGTAGTAAACAAACAAAAATGCTTGGTGTTAGTAAATAGCCGGAAGCCGACGTTGTTGCACTACAAAGTGCCAGATCCAAAGGAATTCATTTCACAGTACAATCGTACTTCACGCCATGATCTATAATGGCGCTTGTTCATTGTTCTTCGTAAAAATACTTGCAGCGTGCTGTGCGCCTTAGCGCTTTCTTGCTGGGTCCTGAATTTGGCGCTCGTTTTTGTACATATATTCGGACCGGAATTCCGCTGTTTACGTACGCATCATCAAAATAATAATCATTTTGGTTTTATGAAGCACTTTAAAAAGGAACGAGCGCTTTTTAAGTAAATGAACAAAACATTCATGATGAAGCTTTGCCATAACCACCGTCCATTCTGCAATTTCAGTCCCAGGGACGCTTCAAACGATGGGTCTTCGCTTCATCCTCCTGGTTGTAGCTTCTAGCATCCTCACAAGTGGTACATTCTTCGTTGTGGGCGCTAAAACTGCCAATTTCGCGACACCTCTTTCTCGTCGTAATGTCCAGGCAGAGGGCAAAATCCCACGTGAAACAAGGGTTCTGAGATCTAATGAGAAGAGGGGCGTGGGTGATATCGAAGACGACGAAGAGAGAACACCGACCTTGGCTGTCGAGGGGATCTTTCGTGATGCCAAAGCAACTCGTAAATGGCTGCATTTTTGGCTCAACACAGGCGAATCAGCAGAGAGCGTCGCCACAAAGCTAGGACCAGAAAATTTAGCGGCTCTTCCTGTCTACCGGACAATGGTGGCGAAAGCTATGTTAGGCAAAACCGACGGCGAGTTACTATTTTTCCGGAACTACAAGGCGTTCAGGGCGTACCCGGCTATTCTGAGGAGCGTGCAGCTTGGGCGGGTGAAGCACTGGGCCAATCTCAATAAAGCCTAACAAAAATCAATTAGCTCATGAACTAAAAGCTGTGTCTACTTTAGATGCATTTAAAGCAAAATCATTTTTTTTTGAAGAATTGCGTTTCTTAGCGTTTTCCATTTCGGAGAAATGCTATTTTATAAAAATACAGTCATTAAAAAAATTGTATAATGCGTGTTTTGATGCTTCAACGGCACTCTTACTGAATCTATATTATCCACTGTTCCATAACAAGCGTCCAGTTCGTACAACTAGAGGCGTTGCTTTGGCCTGGGAGGACAGTTGATTTTTTTTGAAAAATTAAAAATTAAATCAGTAGTAAGTGATGCAATTATTTTAATATTTTTTTAAAAAAGTACGAAGTAATATTTAGCATTTACAGCCGAGTGACACGACGATTCCTTCATGAATATCGAGAAAAGAAGCCACGAGCTGTTGCAACATGTACAGCCAAGACAAGTGGGTCGCGACATCAATCGCTATTGGGCTAATTTGCTAAGCGTTTTCTGGATAAGGTGACTGACGAGATACTGATTCCGTGATGAAGGATCCATAGCTTGAAATTATTATCACTGATGCGGATGTGCCTTTGTCTTCAATAATGAGCAGCTTCTCCCATTGGTTCATCACGCTTCCTAGGCTAGGACCTAGCAACATTCACGCCAAACTTATCACAGAACGTACGTTAAATTTTTTGTTTCTCTAGGGTTTCAGTGGACTATCGACTCAGGTGACAATCGGAAGGCCTATGTTTCCCCAGTACAACGTTTTCACTCCATATACTGCCGTTAAACGCTCTCTGTCGTCTCCTAGTGAATAAAATCGTGCCAGTCGGGAAGTTGCCACTTGTTGAAGCGTTTCAGTTCTTCTTTATCGAACATTCCATTGATCGCGACACTCAGCAGCTTCCCAACTTCTTTGTGTCCTTTAGCCGAGAAGTGCAATCCGTCGACAAAATAGGTTTGACGCACTTTCACGTCTGGGAATGAAGAATTAAAGTACGTGTGCAAGTCCAGCACATGTACATTCTCCTCAGCTGCCAGCTCCACGCACGCACGAGCATATTCTCCAGTGGACGCGTTGGAGCGATCTCCGTGGCGTTCCGAGTCGATGATACAAGGCGGAGTAATCAACAGGACTTTGCCTCCTGGAGCTAACAGTGGCTGGATCACGTGCAGTATTTTCTGTAGATTAATTCGATATTCCTCCAGTGGTACACGGACAACTAGGTCCTGTCCGCCTATGATGGCGTCATTGGCTCCCAGGAACACGGTGACGAGTGATGCTGAGTATTGGAACTGCACTTCCTTGGAGAAAAGTGGCATACCATGCTGCAGTACCCACTTGGTGTTGTAACCCGAGAGCCCACGGTTGATCATGTCCACAGACCGCACATAGTGGTTCTGCAGGAGCGTGATGAAGCCAGACTTGTTTGGATCGCTGGCTTGCTCGGTGATGGAGTCCCCGATGAAGTAGAAGACTGCACGGCGGTCGGTGGAAGCGGTGAGACCCATGGCGAGCGATCCTGGGAGAACAGGAATAGATTTTAAAAAAATCAGAACTTCAAATCTCCAAGAAAACTCAAATTAGAGCAGCGAGATCTCGAGACTCCAGCGGAGTGCGTGTTGGTAGCTGAGGGGTATGTTCTATGAAGTGACGACATTGAATGTAGCAACTGTTGTCGGCTCTAATTTGTATCAGAGCAAGAATGTTTCGTCACCTTCTATTAGCCCATTTCGTCACGTATAACGAGCGTTTTTTTTTTCATCAAGGCCTCAACTGGTTCGCTCTAGAAGCTCCAGCTGTCTTTTTTTTACTACGAAACGTCTTAAGTAACTTCCTTTTTACTTAGGTAAGAAAGTATTCTAGCGGTGTCTGGCCTGGCCATAGGGGTTTCAGAGACAACACGATGGCTTGATTTGCAGGGGATTGCTTAAACAGTTGTGCTCTCTCTATGATTGCATCGTTGCCGGCATCTTTAACCCTCCAAACGGCGATCCAGGCCGCATAACTCGAATCGTATGGCGCTGACACAAGAAGCTTAACAAGATAAGGTCATGTGCGACTAGAAACGCGAAACTAGCGCTATGAACGAAGTAAATTCATGTTGATCCGACTGCCAGAATTCGGCAGAAATCCGCACCAACAATGATGTACTATTGCTATCCGTCAGCGCGAAAGAGCCTCTTCCTTGCTTCCAACACCAACGTTGTTGGATGTTAAATAATGCTTAAATGATGCCGCGTATGCCTTCAACTTAACCCTTTCGCCTAAGATAATGTACGTTTACCATGGATACGCTGCATATGTTGAAAAGCCCCCACGTGTTGACCGTATTCAACTTTCTTCTTGTCAATTCCAAGCGATTGCTCCAGTGCCGTCCGATGCAGTTGTTGACTTACACTAGAGAGCATACCAGTCTTCATCTTGCCAAGATGACGAGAGACCGCTTTGCGGCCAATCCGTTTCCAGACGTTCATGTGTCCGAATTGGAACGACAAGAGCTGATCGAACTCGTCGCTGTTTACGTGGAAGATTACATCAAGAAGTACGAAGAGTTTGTTCAAGTTCACAAGCGTAAAGTGGACAAGCAACGCTGGAGACATGTCAGATCAAAGGCCAATCTACACGTGTACGCAGAACGAACTCGAAAGGAACTTAAACGACGTGGTATTGAGCCGGAGAACTCGCTAAGTGCGACTCAGCGTCTACGAACTACTTCCCCGGCAAAAGATCTACCGTTATTTCTGAGCGTCGGGACATTCGTCGGTGAACTAGACGACCTCATGTATGGAGTCGTGAACCCGACGTTGAGTGATATGCGTATTAAAGCCTCGTACGTCCATGATATCAATAGTGCTGCAGTGTTATGTCCGGTAGTAGGACCCAGTAAGGATGATCCGTTCCGGTCTATTGTGATCAAGTGGATGACAGTCGACGTGCCGCTGCACTCCACGCACCTAGTAAAGAGCCGTGACTTCGTGTATATCGAGGCAACTGGCACGGTATTCCTCTCGAATGGCGACCGCGTGGGCTACCATTTACTACACTCTATCGATTTCCCACAAACCACTCCCTTACCCAACAAGATCCGAGCGAATTTGTCACTCTTTGGATGTTTTAGGCAGCTCAAGAAGAACGTTGTTGACAATTTCGCATGCGCCACAATCGATCCGGGAGGTGACATGAGGCGTTCGCTCTTGCTTTCTGTAGCGGCCGGTGCGATGCTTTCAGCAACCAATTACGTCTACTGTGGACAGATGAAGAAGCTGGCGTGGATGTTACAGCGTCACCATTCGGCTTATGACGTCGAGAGAAAAACTCGAGACGGGAAAGGATGTGTGGTATGCTCGAAGAAAACGACCAGTGTCATTGGGAGCATTGGGAAGAGCACGTGCAAAATCTGCTACGGTGGTGTGTGCTACTCATGTAAGATTCGACAGAACATCAGCTTCATTGTAGCAGGAGGCAAGCTGATTCAGCGCAAGGTCGTCGTCTGTGCCAAGTGCGTATGCGAATCAACTCAGTGGAACGCACAAGAAGCGGCCAGGGACCAAATTACAGACTTCGAAGCTTGTATGAGCGACCAAGGGTGTACGAGCTACGAGGCTTGCACGGTATCGTGTGAGCTGTCGATTCTGGAGTCGTCAGCGTCCATACGCGGTCGATAGGGTTAGTGTCTGCACTCTAAAGCGTCAAATAGTTGCAGTACATGTACTGCCGCTGATCAATGCCTCCACCCCGCGATAGTTTATCAACGAATCGACTCTTCTTGGAATTCATTTATCAGGGCGAGAGCGGGGTATTTCAATTTAACATACGTCCGTTAAGTCCAATTCACATCGGTTTTCCAAGGTTATAATATTAAAAATATCGCTATTACTGTAGTACTTAGCTATTTAGCAACTGTAATGCACGTGTTCGATCGTTGCATCTACTGATTCTTAGTGACGTGACGGGCATCTGTGCACACGGAAGCACGGCGCGATGTCCTCCCTTCACGAGTCTAGCTGGACGTATCGTTACTTCAGGGGTTGCGCCAGTGCACCGCCCAGCTACCTCCGCCGCAACCTGCCAGGTTACCTGGGCGATAAATGTTCCAAAGGTTTACGAAGCACTTTTCGGATGCGAGCGCTCCAGACTCGCAGTCGACCATGTTGATCCTAAGCATTACCACCCAGTTCTTCGGCACTATTATACGGTCGACACTCCGCGACGGTGGCAGGTCAAGCATGTTCAGTCTTCGTCCGTCAGGAGCTTCGACGAATTCGAGCTCGATCCAGACGCAGTGTGTCGTTTGAGGCTCATCAGAGGCGGAAGCTGGTCGAAGAAACGGTCTAACGATGCCAGAATGCATTGCCGGAGATAAATGTATACCTAGTTATCCCGCGTTGATTATGGTGATCGTAATGTCGAGGCGTATTGACACCACTGCATTGAATCTGCATGTATGTAGCTAGCTTTCTTGCCCTTCTGACGTCCGCGAGGGACTCCTCGTCGCGATTACCGTGCTGTAACTCCATGTGACGGAGAGAAAGCAGATCTTTTGTGGCCAATCGGCGTCTTGGACATGCTGTAACACGAGGATGAAACTCTCTAAACGCACTACGCGCCCGATCCGGGAAGCACTCGCGAGGTTGAAACGCACATCGTCGATACAAATGCCCGTCACAAAAGGCGGTTGCATAGCTATGAACGGGAGCTCTTCAGCCATCGATATTAATCTTCTGCCCGTATACAAAAGGCGTGGAGTTTGTATAATACTTGTGGCGACTTCATCCTGCGCTTATGTCGACCACCGGCACCCCCAAACAATTCAAACTCAGCGTTATCAAAAATTATCAAACGAGCCGAAACCAAGTGACGGGCAATCGAGACGCTCGTCGACTTGAGCAGCGTGGAGGTTGAAGGCGGTAGATACTTTGAAGTAGAGAATAAGATGCTCCTGCAACTATGTTCGCTTCAACATGTCCATCTGTTGTCTACTAGTCAACGCTTTTTGCTCTTAGGCATCCAGAGACCATGCATATAGGCACACAGACAGCGCTGTCGACCTGACTCAATGTCAAGTCTCACTTGTGGATTTACTCTGTCGAAAATACACGTAAAGATGCCTAAAGACCGATTCGTCGCTAGTCCGTTCCCTGAAGTCCAGGTGAGCGAGCTGGAACGACGAGAGTTGCTCCATATCGTCGACATGCACGTGGACGACTATCTCACCAAGTATGTGGACCACGTGGTTGTCGACAAGCGCAAGGTGGACGATCGACGTTGGGAACATGTCAAGTCCAAAGACAAGCTTCGAGTATACGCGGAACGCAGTCACAAGGAGCTCAGTCGTCGCGGTATTGAGCCCGAAACTTCACTCAGTGCAACACAGCGCGTCCAAGAGCATTCCGTCACCAAAGATCTGCCCGTAGTTATGGGGATCGGGACTCTAGTGGGAGATCTCGACGATCTCATGTACGGCGTTGTAAGCCCGACACTAGACGACATGCGAGTCAAAGCTTCGTACATCCACGACGTCGACACGGCCGCTGTCTTGTGCTCCGTGGCGGGACCCAGTAAGGAAGACCCCTTCCGTTCGATCGTCATCAAGTGGATGGCCATCGACGTCCCGTTACAGTCGACAAAACTGGTCCGCAGTCGAGACTTTGTGTACATTGAAGCAACGGGTACTGCGTTCCTTCCAACCGGTGACCGAGTCGGGTACCACTTGATGCATTCTATCGACTTCCCGCAGACTAAACTTCTGCCTAAGAAGACTCGCGGCAGTCTATCTGTCTTCAGTTGTTTCCGGAGGAAACGCGGCTTTATTATTGAGAATTTCGCATGGGGGGTCGTAGATCCGGGAGGTGAGATCATGCGCTCTCTCGCTGTCTCCGTCGCGGCCGGGGCGTTGCTGTCTGCTACGAACTACGTGCATTGTGGACAAATGAAGAAGTTGACGTGGATGTTACAGCATCACGACTCGCTTGAACGTCAACGTGCAGCTCAGAAGAAACAGTGTGTCGTGTGCGATAGAAGAACGCATTCTACTATTGGGAACTTTGGTAGAAGCTCGTGCCGAATCTGCGATGGTTGTGTGTGCCACTCGTGTAAGATCCGTCACCGTATCTACTTCATCGCGCCTGGAGGACAGCTAGTTCAACGGAAGATCGTCGTCTGTGCCAAGTGCATGAAGGAGGCGACGCATTGGAACGCACAAGAAGCGGCTAGAGATGAAGCAATTCGACATGAACTTTCTTCCTCGGTTTCCTTTATTGATACATCTGAGTCCTCGTCGTACGATGAAAACAAGTAGAATAGTAACTCGCTCAAAGCATGAAAAGGTATAAATGCAGCTGAATAATAACCGACCTTCATAATTCTTAATCTTCTATACAAAGTTCCTTCTTCTAACCAAGCATGCAACTCCTTGATTGCCAGGTCATGCGTGCAGTCCACATGGCACTGAAAATGTAGAAGCAGCGCCACCTTGAACTCGTAACATGCTGCAGCATAATCCAAAGCGGAAGACGAACATCCTTCGGCGCGGTTACTGCAGAGCTTTCAAATGTCCATGAGCCGCTGCTTCGTCAATTACTCGCTCAGTGCAACCTTCCGTTTGGTTGACCTATAGCCATTTGACAGCATGCAGGTGCCTAAGTAGCTGCTGCTTCATCCATTAAACCGTTTGACCAGGCCATAGCCCATTATTTAAATTAGCGATTTATACTAAGCCCACCGCTAAAACTACCCCAAAAACAATTATCTGCAGGCTAATTTTGAAACCCTTCAAGAGCGACAAAAAGTTCAACATGAGCACCTCAAGCTGCAGCATGTTACGAGTTCGAGGTGGCGCTGCTTCTACATTTTCAGTGCCATGTGGACTGCACGCATGACCTGGCAATCAAGGAGTTGCATGCTTGGTTAGAAGAAGGAACTTTGTATAGAAGATTAAGAATTATGAAGGTCGGTTATTATTCAGCTGCATTTATACTTTTTCATGCTTTGAGCGAGTTACTTTTTTACTTGTTTTCATCGTACGACGAGGACTCAGATGTATCAATAAAGGAAACCGAGGAAGAAAGTTCATGTCGAATTGCTTCATCTCTAGCCGCTTCTTGTGCGTTCCAATGCGTCGCCTCCTTCATGCACTTGGCACAGACGACGATCTTCCGTTGAACTAGCTGTCCTCCAGGCGCGATGAAGTAGATACGGTGACGGATCTTACACGAGTGGCACACACAACCATCGCAGATTCGGCACGAGCTTCTACCAAAGTTCCCAATAGTAGAATGCGTTCTTCTATCGCACACGACACACTGTTTCTTCTGAGCTGCACGTTGACGTTCAAGCGAGTCGTGATGCTGTAACATCCACGTCAACTTCTTCATTTGTCCACAATGCACGTAGTTCGTAGCAGACAGCAACGCTCCGGCCGCGACGGAGACAGCGAGAGAGTGCATGATCTCACCTCCCGGATCTACGACCCCCCATGCGAAATTCTCAATAATAAAGCCGCGTTTCCTCCGGAAACAACTGAAGACAGATAGACTGCCGCGAGTCTTCTTAGGCAGAAGTTTAGTCTGCGGGAAGTCGATAGAATGCATCAAGTGGTACCCGACTCGGTCACCGGTTGGAAGGAACGCAGTACCCGTTGCTTCAATGTACACAAAGTCTCGACTGCGGACCAGTTTTGTCGACTGTAACGGGACGTCGATGGCCATCCACTTGATGACGATCGAACGGAAGGGGTTTTCCTTACTGGGTCCCACCACGGAGCACAAGACAGCGGCCGTGTCGACGTCGTGGATATACGAAGCTTTGACTCGCATGTCGTCTAGTGTCGGACTCACTACGCCGTACATGAGATCGTCGAGATCTCCCACTAGAGTCCCGATCCCCATAACTACGGGCAGATCTTTGGTGACGGAATGCTCTTGAACGCGCTGTGTTGCACTGAGTGAAGTCTCGGGCTCAATACCGCGACGACTGAGCTCCTTGTGACTGCGTTCCGCGTATACTCGAAGCTTGTCTTTGGACTTGACATGTTCCCAACGTCGATCGTCCACCTTGCGCTTGTCGACAACCACGTGGTCCACATACTTGGTGAGGTAGTCGTCCACGTGCATGTCGACGATATGGAGCAACTCTCGTCGTTCCAGCTCGCTCACCTGGACTTCAGGGAACGGACTAGCGACGAATCGGTCTTTAGGCATCTTTACGTGTATTTTCGACAGAGTAAATCCACAAGTGAGACTTGACATTGAGTCAGGTCGACAGCGCTGTCTGTGTGCCTATATGCATGGTCTCTGGATGCCTAAGAGCAAAAAGCGTTGACTAGTAGACAACAGATGGACATGTTGAAGCGAACATAGTTGCAGGAGCATCTTATTCTCTACTTCAAAGTATCTACCGCCTTCAACCTCCACGCTGCTCAAGTCGACGAGCGTCTCGATTGCCCGTCACTTGGTTTCGGCTCGTTTGATAATTTTTGATAACGCTGAGTTTGAATTGTTTGGGGGTGCCGGTGGTCGACATAAGCGCAGGATGAAGTCGCCACAAGTATTATACAAACTCCACGCCTTTTGTATACGGGCAGAAGATTAATATCGATGGCTGTAGAGACTTTATTCTCCCGTTCATAGCTATGCAACCGCCTTTTGTGACGGGCATTTGTATCGACGATGTGCGTTTCAACCTCGCGAGTGCTTCCCGGATCGGGCGCGAAGTGCGTTTAGAGAGTTTCATCCTCGTGTTACAGCATGTCCAAGACGCCGATTGGCCACAAAAGATCTGCTTTCATGGAGTTACAGCACGGTAATCGCGTCGAGGAGTCCCTCGCGGACGTCAGAAGGGCAAGGAAGCTAGCTACATACATGCAGATTTAATGCAGTGGTGTCAATACGCCTCGACATTACGATCACGCGGGATAACTAGGTATACATTTACCTCCGGCAATGCATTCTGGCATCTTTAGACCGTTTCTTAGACCTCTGACGAGCCTCAAACGACACACTGCGTCTGGATCGAGCTCGAATTCGGCGAAGCTCCTGACGGACGAAGACTGAACATGCTTGACCTGCCACCGTCGCGGAGTGTCGACCGTAGAATAGTGCCGAAGAACTGGGTGGTAATGCTTAGGATCAACATGGTCGAATGCGAGTCTGGAGCGCTCGAATCCGAAAAGTGCTTCGTAAACCTTTGGAACATTTAGCGCCCAGGTTGCGGCGGAGGTAGCTGGGCGGTGCACTGGCGTAACCCCTGAAGTAACGATACGTCCAGCTAGACTCCCATACTCGGATTAAACGACGTGAAGGGAGGAGATCGCGCCATGCTTCCGTGTGCACAGATGCCCGTCACGTCACTAGGAATCAGTAGATGCAACGATCGAACTAAAGACACTTTAGATCAACAGCGATGTCCTACAGTTGTTAAAAAATTCGAAACCGTTGGAGGCCATGATTATTTACATGGAACTATACATGTTATAATCCTGTACATGTCCAGGATTGCAAAATAAAATTCTTTTCAAGCTCTGCTATTACCGATCATAATAAATATGGAAGGTTTCATATTTGTTTCTGCCGTTTGTCGGTCAGATGTCGAGGGACGCCGGCGATGCTGTTCCGCAAGACGCGGACGTCGCGCCTGCGCAGGAAGGCTTGCGTGAAGAATCTCCTCTGTGTGGAGTGTATGCGGTCGCGAACGCGCAAGTTATTGCGGAGTCTGGAGGTGAGAAGTGCCGGAGAAGCGCTGGAGTTGACGCGAAAGGGACTGTAGAGCCCGGAAAAAGCCTTATCAGCCAGATACAGGACCCCGGAAGCACTATCATGAATGTAAAGGCGGGCGCCCACATGGATGTAGAAGATGAGCGAAATACGGAGGCTGTGCGGTCTTCAGAAACGTATGGTGATAGTGAAAAACCTGGAAGCCAGAGCACCGACGCTGCGAGTGTGCCCGTGAACCCGCCGGTCAAATACCACGCTAATTGGGAAGCGTGGCAGAGCTACTTCGTCGACTACTGCCAACGTTCGATGCAAGTCATCCCCGTGAAGGAGACGATGTCTTGCGCTGAAAGGAACAAGCGTCTAAAGAAGACGAAGAATGGTGTGGATGACGATCAGCTGGTCCCGAATGAGTTTGACCCGTATCAACGCACGTACATCTGTACGCACGGCTGGAAAAAGAGAAAGTCGCTCAGTGAGGGCAGCCGTCCGCGTCAGCACATCCGGCTGACAAAGTGTCCCTTCAGATTCGTGGTACAGTGGAATTTGGCGCGTCGAGAGCTTCAGGTGAAGAATGGTGTCTGGTTACACAACCATCAAGTCTCGCCCGCAGCTTTCGCGACGTACCCATCGTCGCGTGGAGTGTTTGACCCGCTGGTAGGAGCGCGTGTTCAGGGTATGCTCGAGGTTGGAGCCAAGCGCTCTAAGATTTACGACTACCTCTTGGAGCATGACGAGAATGTGGTGCAGGCGGACGTAGACAATCTGGTGCGTGATTATTCTTCTTCCACAACGGACGTTGACGATAATGAGGCAACTGCTAGGGAGCTCGCATTGTTTGCTGCAGTTGATAATGAGAACCTATTGTCAGTGGCCGACACGGATTGTGGTGAGACAGGAGTTATATCGATTGCAAGTGCGCACATGCGGCGCGTGTTTGCGCGTTTCTGCGAGGTCTTGCTAGTTGATTGCAGTCACAAAACGAATAGGTACGTCTGTGTAATGTGAAGGGTAATGATCTTGGATTTAAACAGGACTGATACGTGTATGTGTTCATGATAATGATGTAGGTATAACTACCAACTACTAACATTCATGGGAATGAACGAATTTGGCGAGGGTGCAGTAGTTCAACAGTCTCTGATCGAAGCAAATGGAGACTGGCATATGGAACGAGCCATTGATCATTTTAAACGATTTCACCCTACGCGCATCAACTTACTGCGCGTGATAGTCGTGGATAAGGATTTAAACGAGATACGCGTGTTGGAGGCGAATTTCCCTGAGGCCAGGACCCTGATATGTCACTTTTATGTAATTAAGTATCTCAAGGACATGCGCTCGAAGCCAGAGTTCAAGAAGATTTCATCAGACGACGCTAGCCATATAGACGCTGCAATTCATAAGATGGTGTACGCGTCCAGTGAACAAGAATACGAAGATGCACATGATTCTCTAAGAGGGCATTTGCGAAAGATGTGGTATGGATCGTTTTTTTAAGTATTTCGAGAAGAATTGGCACTCATGCATAGAGCGTTGGGTGTTATATCTTCGTGCTACGCTTCCCCACTTCAACAATCACACCAACAACAGACTGGAGAGTTACTTTGGCAAACTGAAAGAAGGTATCGACAGTTCTATGACTATGGCGAATTGTATCAAGGCATTGGTTGCTTTTGATCGGCGGAAACAGAACGACTACGAATACCGGCTAACTCGAATAGGTCGTTTCAGCAACTCAAATTATGACGAGGAAATGTCGACGGTTCTGCGTTTCACTACTCACTATGTGGCTCAACAGATAGAGCGGCAATACACACTCGGATTGGAGAATACATTACGTTACAAGTTTGAGAAAGATCCCGGGGAATTGAAAGTCGTCAAAGTCCGTGGATCATTTAAGATCCATATTCTTCGAATCGATGAGTGGAGATGCAACTGCGAGTTTGCAGCGTCGATGAGTTTGCCTTGTAGACACGCAATCGCATATCGCAAGCGCACCAGTGTAAATGGGTCTGTTATTCCCTGGACCATGATTGACGAGAAGTTCGTACTGATCCAACTCAAAATCCTGGATGTATACAGGAATTTATATTTCTATGATATGTATTTGTATAGTAACGAATCCTGTATGTGTGCATGACTTGTAGGTGGACGAACCCGACAATGGAACTCAAGAAAGTCCGGCAGTTTGCCTATGAGAAGTTCGGAGATTCGGCCCAAGGAAATCAAAAGAATAGGATGCGAACACACTCGGAGAGATATAGAGAGGCTGTGCGCGCAACACACTTAATTGCCAGCGAGATAGCAGACATTGAAGATGAAGCTGAGTTCGAGACTATGCTGCAGTTTGTTTTGAATCAATGGAGAAACGTCCGGCAGAAAAAAATTGCCGAGGATACCCCTGATGGAGATTTACATGAAGGTCTGGTTGCGGCAAATGTGGAATCTGTGTCTGGTGCTGATTTGAAGCGGGAGTTTGGAATTAGCAATAGTGATGATGAAGAATCTTGTACTGGAGACTCTGTGGATTCTGCTGTGACTAAAGAGAAGGAAGCGTCTGCCTCCACAATGACTATACGCCTGAACCCAAAGACGCGTAAGGTTGGGGCCCCCAAAAAGACCAAAACGAAGATGGTGGCCGGTAACCGTGCGGACAGGAAGTGGTATGAAGCGGCGGAAGAAGGCCGTAAGAAAGCAGGGGAAGTGGCAGTAGTTGCGGTGATGAAGTCTTTAGATCACGTTCAGCCTGAGCTTCGCGAGGTACAGAGGCGTTTATCGGGGATCTTAGTAAAGTACGGAGACGCTGAGTCGAAAAAACCCAAGCTTCACATGATGAAAAATCCTGTATTGATACAGGATCCGTTCTACATACTTCCAACGAAGCTTTTGGATGCGTGCCTGAAGATCCTTCCCGTGTCCAATTCGAAGGAAGATGCTATCGCGATTGACGCATCACAAACTAGCCAACCAACGGAGGAAAAGAAAGGAAAACCAATTGAAACTGTTGTCATCAAGAACGTTGGGAGTTTTTCAAGGAAGCAGATAGAAACCTTCAAGCGCGTATACAATTTGAAACGAGCCGTACAGGCAGGCTTGGACATGCATAAGTGGCTACTGGAGGTCGCTGTTCCTTCCCTCCCAGCCCCCTACCACGGAATTGGAACTCGAGTTGCTGAGGATGTGTTAACGTCGTACCCGTTCAAACGGATTCAAGGGCTACCATATCTGGCAGACTACACATACGCAATGCTCTACAGCGCGAGCCCACCCACATGGCTTTCGGACGCAGCATTACGTGCCTTGTGCTTGCGGCTCACCGACAATTACCCAACAGTCCGATTTGCTGGATTTCAATCAGCTGTAGCAAAGCAACGCCGATCTCGAAAGACAGATGCTTCTCCAGTTGAAGATACTATCCGACAGCGACTGCTACAGCAAGTTCAGGAGGACGGAGTGGACACGGTATTGCTCCCGCTGAACTTTGATAACTTCCACTGGTGCTGCGTGGTGG